CTCGTGTCCTAAACATGGCTTGTTCAGAAACGCAGAAGAATCTCCATATAGGTAATACTCTACTTTTTTGCTTCTCCTTACACTCTGCTTTGTCGTGTGAATATATTTGATATGTTATTCTCTGCGTAGTATATATATATATATATATATATATATATATATGTGTGTGGGGGGGTGCATATAAAGTTTTGTGTATGTCTTAGTAGTATAAAAGTTCCTCTGAGAACAATGCATGTTTCTCATTCCTTTTCCTTTCAGCCATTTCGTTTCGTCCGTGAATTAAATTGTTATTATAACACGGATATAATAATGCTCATAATGGGGGAAATATGAATAGGAGAAAAATATCTTTCTTCCATTGCTCTCTTCCGTTAGAGAAGCATTTTAAAAGCTAAGCAAGATACTGATAAACGGATAATTTTCATTAAAAACAAATAAAAAGGACTACGCGATTGCTATGTTTTATCCATTCTCTTATATAGCAGTGAATGTTGGATTATCTCCCCATTGATGAAGAGAAAATTATATGCAGCATAAATGTGATTCTACCGATGAATATTAAAAATTCCATGGACGGGGGGAGGGAATGAGCAACAAGGAAGACTTCAAGAAAATGGTAACAAAAAGATTCAGGAAAAGGTAGCTGAAATTCCTTTGACCCATAAGAAGGAAAGAAGGCTTGGAAAATTTAAATCTCATGTGGAATATTGAAGGCAGCAGGCCACTTGATGATCATGTGTGAATAGATGAAGTAACGGGGCGGAAATCTTAGCAAAGGGAGAAAACCGCTAAGATCCACAAGGCAGAGGAAGTCGTAGAGAGCCATGCTTGCCTATATCCAGAAGGAACTCACCACGTAGAAGAAAAATCTATGTTTAAACAATATAATGTAGAAAAAAAAGGTCGTGAAAATGTAACAGTATGATTAAAGTCAAACTTCATTGGTTGCTGGCTTTCTGTGGCTGGCAGACGGACTCCCAAGGATTTTCTTTCTTTTTATGTGTCGTGCCATTTCAGGACGTAGGCGAACATGACTCTCCACTTCTCCCTATCCGTTGTAGTTTTCAATAAGTTACGTACCTCTGCCATAACCCTCAGACCTCGTTCGGTCACCCACTAAGCCCGCCCATGCGTTGCTTTCACCTGTCTCTCTTTCCTTCTATTCAACCTGTGAGTATCAGATTCTTTAGGCCTTCCATTCTCATTACGTATACCAGAAATTTCAGCTGTCTCTTCCTGGTGTTAAGTATGTTTTTACAAGCATTTTTTCTACGCCATATTTTTTGCATATAGATTTTTCTTCTACGTGCCGCTTTCCTTGTGGATATAGGCAAACATCGCCCTCTACAACTTCTTCCGCCTTTTGGATCTTAGCGGTTTTCTCCCTTTGCTAAGGTTTCCGCCCAAGTTCCGTCATCAATTCACATAATATCATACAGGGGCAATTTCAAATTACGGCAGTGTTTATTTATTTATTTATTTATTTTCATCCTACGTAGGTAATGGTAAAAGAATGCTAAAAAATTTGACCAATGCAAGAAAATAAACGAGAAATAAGAAAAGAAAGTAGGAAACACTGCAGAAGATAATATGTAAAAAGAATAGATAACAGTTGATAAAAATGAAAACGACAGAAAACAATGAAAAAGACAGAATTACCATTAAACTGAAAGAAAAGTGAAAGTAAAAGTGAAGTGAAAGTAAAAGTGAAAGTAAATGCATCGTACTCTGATTATTCAAATAATGTCGGGCCATTAATATTGTTATGAGTTCGATTTTCATTTAGGGCTTATTTTGGGCTCGGTGCCAGGAAAAGATAAACCGCTTCGGTAAAAAAAAAAAAGAGAAGAAAATAAAACGAAAAAAATAAAGAAGTAAAAACAAAAAATAAAAATGAACAATGGAAAGAATAAGAAATAAATTTAAAAAATATAGAAAAAAGAAAGAAAGTAAAACAAAAAAAAAGAAAGGAAGAAAAAGAGAAAAAATGAGGACGGAAACAATTAAAAAAGAAAGAAAGAAATATGCAGTCGTAGTAAAGAAGAGAAAAACACAAAAAAAGAAGAAAGAAGAAAAGAAAGCAAAAAAATAAAGCAAAACGAATCAAGTGAATTAAAATTGAAAGAAAGCGCATCGTACTGTGAATATTCAAATTATGTCGGGCCATTATTACTGTTATGAGTTCGATTCTCACTTAGGGCTTATTTTGGGCTCGGTGCCAGAAAAAAAGATAAACCTTTCCGGAAAAAAAGAGAGGGAAAATAAAACGAAAAAAAGGAGTAAAAAAAGATACATAAATAAAAATGAAGAAATGAAGGAATGCACAAGTAAAAGTAAAAAAAGAAATAAAAATACTGGACGAAAAAAAAGAAATAAAAGAGGAAAACGACGAAAGAAAGGATTAAAAAAGATATTTAAAAATGAGGAAAAAAGGAAGACAAGGAAGAAACTAAAACGTAGTAAAATAAAAGAGCAAAAAGAAAAAAAAGGAAAGAATAAAGAATTAAAAAAGAAAGAGATATGCAGTTGCAGTAAAGAAGAGAGAAAACAGAAAAAGAAGAAAAGAAAGAAAAATTAAGGACGAACGAAGGAAAAATATAAAAAAAGAAAGAAAGAAATGAATAAAAGAAGGAAAACATAAAGAACGAACGAAAGAATGTATGAAAAGAGCGGTAAAGAAGAAAACAGGAAAGACAAATAATGAAAGAAAAATAAATAAAGCTGAAAAGCATAAAAAAGAAAAACGATGAAAAATAAATAAATAAAATATGGCCGAAATCAAAGAGAAAGAAGAACAAAGGAAGTTAGGATTAAAAAAGAAGAAAAGAGAAAAAGAAAGAAAGACAAATGAAGTTAGGATTAAAAAAGAAGAAAAGAGAAAAGAAAGAAAGAAAAAAATGAAGTTAGGATTAAAAAAGAAGAAAAGAAAAGAAAAGAAAGAGAAATGAAGAAAGAAGAAATGAAAAGAAAGTTAGGATTAAAAAAGAAGAAAAGAGAAAAAGAAAGAAAGACAAATGAAGTTAGGATTAAAAAAGAAGAAAAGAGAAAAAGAAAGAAAGACAAATGAAGTTAGGATTAAAAAAGAAGAAAAGAGAAAAAGAAAGAAAGAGAAATGAAGTTAGGATTAAAAAAGAAGAAAAGAGAAAAAGAAAGAAAGACAAATGAAGTTAGGATTAAAAAAGAAGAAAAGAGAAAAAGAAAGAAAGAAGAAATGAAGTTAGGATTAAAAAAAGAAGAAAAGAGAAAAAGAAAGAAAGACAAATGAAGTTAGGATTAAAAAAAAGAAAAAAGAGAAAAGAAAGAAAGACAAATGAAGTTAGGATTAAAAAAAGAAAAAAAGAAAAAGAAAGAAAGAGAAATGAAGTTAGGATTAAAAAAGAAGAAAAGAGAAAAAGAAAGAAAGACAAATGAAGTTAGGATTAAAAAAGAAGAAAAGAGAAAAAGAAAGAAAGACAAATGAAGTTAGGATTAAAAAAGAAGAAAAGAAAAAAGAAAGAAAGAGAAATGAAGTTAGGATTAAAAAGAAGAAAAGAGAAAAGAAAGAAAGACAAATGAAGTTAGGATTAAAAAAGAAGAAAAGAAAAAAAGAAAAATGAAAGAGAAAAAAAGAAAAAGAGGATTAAAAAAAATGAAGAAAAAAAAGAAAAAAGAAAGAAAGACAAATGAAGTTAGGATTAAAAAAGAAGAAAAGAGAAAAAAAAAGAAAGACAAATGAAGTTAGGATTAAAAAAGAAGAAAAGAGAAAAAGAAAGAAAGAGAAATGAAGTTAGGATTAAAAAAGAAGAAAAGAGAAAAAAGAAAGAAAGAGAAATGAAGTTAGGATTAAAAAAAAAAGAAAAGAGAAAAAAGAAAGAAAGAGAAATGAAGTAAGGATTAAAAAAAAGAAGAAAAGAATAAAAGAAAGAAAGACAAATGAAGTTAGGATTAAAAAAAGAAGAAAAGAGAAAAAGAAAGAAAGACAAATGAAGTTAGGATTAAAAAAAAGAAAAGAGAAAAAAAAGAAAGAGAAATGAAGTTAGGATTAAAAAGAAGAAAAGAGAAAAAGAAAGGAAGAGAAATGAAGTTAGGATTAAAAAAGAAGAAAAAAAGAAAAAAAAAGAAAGACAAATGAAGTTAGGATTAAAAAAGAAGAAAAGAAAAAAAGAAAGAAAGAGAAATGAAGTTAGGATTAAAAAGAAGAAAAGAGAAAAAGAAAGAAAGAGAAATGAAGTTAGGATTAAAAAGAAGAAAAAGAAAAAAGAAAGAAAGAGAAATGAAGTTAGGATTAAAAAAGAAGAAAAAGAGAAAAAAGAAAAAAAAAAAGAAAAAGAAGAGAAATGATTTAAAAAAAAAAAAGAAAAGAGAAAAAGAAAGAAAGACAAATGAAGTTAGGATTAAAAAAAGAAAAAAAAAAAAGAAAGAAAGAGAAATGAAGTTAGGATTAAAAAAGAAGAAAAGAGAAAAAAAAAAGAAAGAGAAATGAAAGGATTAAAAAAAGATTAAAAAAAAAAAGAAAGAAATGAAGAAAAAAAAAGAAAGAGAAATGAAAGAGTAAGGATTAAAAAAGAAGAAAAGAGAAAAAGAAAGAAAGAGAAATGAAGTTAGGATTAAAAAAAGAAGAAAAGAAAAAAGAAAGAAAGAGAAATGAAGTTAGGATTAAAAAAAGAAGAAAAGAGAAAAAAAAAGAAGAATGAAATGAAAAAAAGAATTAAAAAAGAAGAAAGAGAAAAAAAAGAAAGAAAGAAAAAGAAGAAAGGATTAAAAAAAAAGAGAAATGAAGTTAGGATTAAAAAGAAAAGAGAAAAAGAAAGAAAGACAAATGAAGTTAGGATTAAAAAAGAAGAAAAGAGAAAAAGAAAGAAAGAGAAATGAAGTTAGGATTAAAAAAGAAGAAAAGAGAAAAAGAAAGAAAGACAAATGAAGTTAGGATTAAAAAAGAAGAAAAGAGAAAAAGAAAGAAAGACAAATGAAGTTAGGATTAAAAAAGAAGAAAAGAGAAAAAGAAAGAAAGACAAATGAAGTTAGGATTTAAAAGGAAGAAAAGAGAAAATGAAAGATATCTGGACTCTGGAGTAAAAACGAATAAAAGAGTAAAAGAAAGAAAGAAAATGAAGACATTGTGACATAATAATAAGAAAGTGTAACAAAGAAAAAACTAAAAGAAAAAATAAAGGATAAAGAAGAAACGAAAGAAAGAAAGAAACGCGAAAACTGAAAATAACAAGGAAAACACGGGATGAAAATGCACACAGAATAAAAAAAAGAAAACGAGAAAATAATATAAAGAAACCAAAAAAAACATAAACCAATAAAGAAAACGAAAGTCTGAGTACAAGGAACAAAAATAACAAAGTATGTAAAAAGTATTATGTAAAGAAAATGAAAATATACTGGAAGAAGAAAAAGAAGTTTAAAAAAGAAAGAAAGAAAGAAAGAAAGGGAGAAAGAAAGGCTACGGGAAGTAAATTGATTAAGAAATGTAGCAACAACGAAAGGGGGAGAAGAAAAGAAATAATTATATCAATTTATAAAACAGTGGGAGAAGGAAGGTTCAGAAATTGGGCAGCGGCAGTGAATGAAATGTCTTTGTGTTCCAAAATTCAAAGCCATTATTAAACATTATCATCTTTCCTAATAGTCAACTATGACCCTAGTCTAAGAAGAAGAAACGGTCATAAAAATGGCTAATAGTCGACAAGGGCGAAGATTAGTGTAAAGATGTATAACAGATTGAAAAATAAAATGGACGATCATAAATAAAATGGACCAATTCAATGGAAATTGAAATTAACAAATGAATAAGTGAAAAGGGTTTATACTCATATTCCTGCTTTATCCCTCCGTTAGATAGATAGATAGATATAGATAGATAGATTTTTGTTTGTTTAACGGCACATCAACTCCTTATGGGTCATTTAATACTAAAATTTAATTTGGGGGAGGTTTAAAGCAATAAAAATATGTTATATGTTATTCTGCTTTCACGATTGAATACATGGTAGATGATACTCAGCTTTAGTGCATATGCCTATGTGTGGGGAAATTATTACTACAGGGGGTGAAGGTCTGTTTTATGTTGTAGTTTTGTTATATTTTGGAATACAGTTTAACTTCTTTAAGCAATTGTAGGATATTATTTGGATTAATGTCATGAGAGAGTTATTTATTTGATTTATTTTGATTTGCGGCACATCAACACTTCTATGGATTATTTAATGACGAAATCTAAATATTTTGAACACAATTGTATGGCTTCAACTAAATATATTTAAACTGTAATTGCATGCTTTTAACTATAGATAAAATGTATTGTTGGACATTTTGCAACAAAACTTATTGTTGGTAATTCTATTAAATTGTATTGCCGGTGATTTTTACTATAAATTTTGTTCATTTTACAATATAAAAAATTATTGCTGATAATTTTACTATAACAATGTATTTTTGTGCTTTCATAATGTTTTTGTTTTGGGTTTATAGATAAATTTCCCAGAATAATTGTGTATAAGACAAATTGGTATAAGAATGATAATTGGGAAAAATCTTAGTTATTTTTTTCGCCGACGCGTTTCGTCTTCCGACTTTATCAAGGCAAACAATGAAAGCGAAATGTTTTGTTGTTGAGTTACATTAAATCCAAAATTTACAAAAGATAGACGCTCCTGCGTAAACCACTTTCTGGATAATGGTAACTTCCTTTATACTATTATTCTGGTAAATTTAAATATACTGTCGACATGGAAAAAAAAAAAAAGAAAACTTTTTAGTATAAAGGAATCTATCATTATCCAGAAAGAGGTTTACGCAGGAGTGTCTCTCTTTTTTAAATTCTGGATTTAATGTAAATATAATAACAAATTTATTTCGCTTTTATTGTTTGCTTTGATAAACTCAGAAGCTAAAACGCTTCGTCAAAAACTAAGATTTTTTTCCAATTTTCATTTTGATACCACACACCTACACGCACGCACGCACGCACACACACACACACACACTCACACACACACACACACACGCACACACACACTCACACACATATCTATATCTATCTCTCTCTCTCTCTCTCTCTCTATATATATATATATATATATATATATATATATATATATATATATATATATATATATATATATATATATGGACCTCCTGTCGGTTTCGACGTATGAGGATCTGACAGATTAATTGACTAAGCGGCAATTAAGACCCGCTAATGATTTACAAAGGAGACCACATATAGAGCAAGAGTGAGGACTGTGAGATGAGATCCCTGTTAGACTGGCTGACCTTTTAGATCTTGCTCTCGCTTCCTGAAGATTGAGAGAAGCAGATTGAAAACTGCTGAGTCCACTAAAAGATATTGATCTCCATTCTACCCGCGCCAAGGTTAAGCGCTCAATGGTGTTATGTGGTATATTTCAGCTTGTCTTTGTATCTTAGCCATGGGCGTCCTATATTCCTGTAGCTCTGATCTAACTGACTCTACATTAGGATCATTGGTATCCTGTCATCAGACATTTTCAAGACATAACCTGTTCATCGTAACTGAGACTGTATGAGAAAAGGGAAATTTCGCTTGACCATGAAAGAGGGCTTCATATTTCTGTATGGAGCACTGTTTTTTAAAACTAAAAACAAAAATACGAAAGAACTCCGGATTATTTACCTAAAGTTTCTACCCTATTTTTCTACATATCTTCACACACACACACACACACACACACACACACACACACACACACACACACACACACACACACACACACACACACACATATATATATATATATATATATATATATATATATATATAAAATTTCGCTTGAGGATGAAGCAGGGCTTGATACTTTAACTCAATTTAATCTTAATTATTATATTGAGGTTTTCGGTTCTCGTTTTTGAAACATGAGAACTCTAATGTAACGAAGGAATCATATTTTTAAAAAAAATAATTATAATTTAAGCTCTACTTCTGTATGGAGCACTCTTTTTTAAAGATATAAACAAAAATACTAAAGAACTCCGGATTATTCACCTAAAGTTTTTACCCTATTTTTCTACATATCTGCACACACACACACACACGCACACACATACACACACACACACATACACACACACACACACACACACACATATATATATATGTTTGTGCGTGTGTGTGTTTTTTGTGCGTTATCACTTAAACGTCATTTTTAACAATTTAAGAGAAACATTTTCGGCTGTATAAATGAAAATTATATCACATCTTTAGAAATATATATATATATATATATATATATATATATATATATATATATATATATATATATACCTGGTGAGACAGTAAAATTGTCCAAATCGTGTAACAGTATAATTATCCATCCCCATAATGTTTGATATATAAAAGACCACTAAACTGAGTTTCTTTTTTTTCAAGATTTTCAGATGGGACATTTAGCCAGTCGTTTAGACTTCTCAACTGAGCAATGGTGAAAGGAAAAAGATCATCAGGCCTTCAGTAATGGAACCACATATTCATACTCTAGCTTTCATCTTCAGAGTCGATTAAAGAACCATCAAGTGAACAGGGAATAAGTTTAAAAAAAGAGGGAACACAAGAGAGATAGACTGGAGCAGACGGTCAAAACAGGAAGAGGGATCATTATTTCAACTTAGAGCTAAATAGATCAATTAGAAAAGATCCAACTCATTCCATAAGACGTTTAGCACATGAGAGAAGTGTTTCTGTTATGACATTCAAAAGAGCAGTGAAAAAAAAATGAAATCGTATGAAATTTCAATCCTTCATGAACTTCCGATCCTTAGCTATGTTTAATTAATGAACATGTCATTATCGTTTATGATCGATTTCATCACGATATTTCTGTTATGCTTTTAGTGTCATTATATATTCTGATCGGTCAAAGTAAAAAAAAAAACTAGTGTCATATTGGTCAAAGTAAGGCTCACTAGTGTCATAAATCTTCGGAGAATTCTGAACCGTTGTATCTTAGAAATGATTAAAGATATCTGACTGGAATTCTCCGAAGTTTTATGAGACTACATATATATATATATATATATATATATATATATATATATATATATATATATATATATATATATATATATATGAAGATAGAAGACCTGAAGATTGCGAACCTCGTACCAGACAGGTACCAACCGGTGTTGACCTTCTTAGTGTCGACTTTTATATTTACATACTCGATATCCTTGATATTGAGGACTTTTACCCAAGATATCGCATATCTTAAAACCGTATTTTATCTCTTATATATATATATATATATATATATATATATATATATATATATATACATATATATATATATATATATAAAAGTGAACATAGAAGTCAACACTTAGAGGCGACAGTCTGTTTCATGCTATATGCACTACATATATACATATATATATAGTAAAAAATTTTACTACGTTAATAAATAAATAAATAAAATAAGAAACAAAAATAAAATCGAGCAATATAACTTGGCCCAGATAAATAAACAAACGACTTCCGTTAAAATAACCGCCATAATAGACTACCCACAATGCACCACTAACCCGTATATATAGCCGAGAAAAATAACAGCATATGTGGCCTGACGATTGCATATAGCATGAAACAGACTGTCGCCTCTAAGTGTTGACTTCTATGGTCACTTTTATATTTACACACGCTCTATCTCTGATATGGAGCACTTTATTCCGTAAATATAGCACACCATAAGACTATATTTCTTTATATATATATATATATATATATATATATATATATATATATATATATATATATATATATAGTAAAAAGTAGCAAATGCGTTGGTATATAATTCAAGTGGATCCTAGTAATATAAATTATCAATTAATATTGATTTGGGATTTTGCTTTTTGGCTATTCCCCATATGAGGTCATTTGGGATTTTATTGTTTACATACAAACATTAGATTGCATACATGCATACATACATACATATATATATATATATATATATATATATATATATATATATATAATTGTATATATGATTACTATTTACATACGTTGTATCAATAATATTGAGCATTATTCTCATAAATATTACATACCTTAAAACAGTATTCTTATCATATATATATATATATATATATATATATATATATATATATATATATATATATATAATTAATTGAAAACATCAAATATCTAGAATCCCATATGGTATTTTAAACAGTTTGATAATCTTTAATTAATAATAATTTTGCTCTTTTGACATAGAGCTCTCCCCAGATCTATATCCGTGTAAATTCCATACGGATTATCATATTGTACATTATTACTATATATATATATATATATATATATATATATATATATATATATAACAATCTTAATTAGATCGACATTCATCTATATTTATATGATTATTTAAAATGCATTGACGCGCATATATATATATATATATATATATATATATATATATATATATATATATATACACACACACACACACACACACATATATATATATATATATATATATATATATATACGCACATGCATATATATTTGATGATTTGATTATATAATTTAAATTGGCAAATAAATCAGATAGAATCCATTTAATTTTGCCTATTTAAATCGTCTAATGTTTATTTGTTCTGGAATCTTTCGATAAATTCGGAAGAAACGAAATGAAATTCATCGTGAAGGCAACGGCGAGGAGAAAACGAAGACATCATTGCCCATGATCCATTCGTGCACGGTTAATGAATGCTTTGACCCTGAATTATTAATCACAAGAAGTTTAGTTAAAAAAATTTAAAAAAATCAACAAAAAAAAAAAACGAAAATTAAATAAAATAGCTAACGTGCTTATGAAATGAAAATATGTTTGCGGTTTCATATAATATGCATAAGTTTGTCGTGTTTAAATTTACTTTGAAATTTACATATTCAATTAGCATATCCCGTTTGCCTGTCCAATAGAAAACTTCGTCAAAAGCCACTGACAAGGAAAGAAATATTTCGAATCTCTCGACAGAAAAATCGATTCAAATGACTCGAATAAAATAAAAACAGGCAAATAAAAATAAAAGAAATAACAGCCCATACATACATAAGGTGTGACAAATTGATTACGGTCCTGTGAATGAAACGTTTGCTTCCTTCATTACCCATGACTGCTGTCATCTTTAAAAGAACTCTCCATTGTTGGAAACATTCTTGGAACTCCTTTTCAAGAATAAACTTTCATGCAAGTAACCACCTAACACAGAACGATCTTGCAACGTTACAGGCACCATGTATTTTGGTTATAGGGCATGGCACAAACTGACTGACCATTCTCAATGTTGTCACAAGTGCAAGTGCTGAAGAATTAAGCACTCGTAAATTACACCAGATTTCTTTTTCTTCACTCATCTTCACTTTTTCGTGGTTTTATTTGGGAATCAGTAGTTTCATTACTGATATATTTTTGGGACTTATTATCTATTTACTGTTAATGTAACATAGAAAATAAACGTGTTTGCAAAGTTGCAAGACAATGTTGCTGGCACGTTGTGGGGTGTCTGCAAAAATCGTATTGGCAACTTCTGTGTAATGTTAGAGAAACGTCACTTTGTTAGCTGGATTGTGACGTCTTGCTGGGTGTCAGGGATATTCGTCCTTTCAGGGTAATTTTGAGTATTGGAAAAACACCCCCCAGCCCCACTCCAAATCACTGGGGTGCCAAATCTGGTAAATAACTAGGATGGTTCATTTTTGATAATGGAATTCTTAGTCTCGAACACCCAAAACTCTAAGGCATCATTTTTCTCTTCGACACTGACGCGCTGTTTCACGGATCTTATTAAGATTGTTGATATGAGAGTATTTTGCTTTCATTTTCTTTTTCTTTCTTTCTTTCTTTCTTTCTTTCTTTCTTTCTTTCTTTTCTTACCTTTCTCAGTGACGTCATATGTTTTTTCCTTATCTGTTTCTTTGTGTTCCCACTCTCTCTATTTCTTTCTTTCCTTCCTTTTCTTTCCTTCTTTTTGTTTCTTTGTAACATAATTATCTGTATTGTTTTCTTTGCAACTTTCTTTCTTTCTTTTTTTCGCTTGTTCGTTATTTGCTTCTATCCATTCAATTTATTTAGTTATTCCCTTCCTTCATTCCTATTTTTCTTTCTTTCGTTTGTTCCATATTCATTTATTTGCATTTACACACTCTTTATTTCTTTCTTTCTTTCTTTCTTTTGTTTGCTCGTTGTTTGTTTCCTTCATTGATCGTTATTTCTTTTCTTTCTTTCCTTCTTTCAGTTGTTTCACTTCCGGTTTCTTTCTTTCTTTTGCTCCTTGTTTGCTTATTTGCAATCTCACTTTCTCTATTTCATTCTATTTACATTCCTGTCTTTCTGTCTTTCTTTCACTTGTTCGTTATTTGCTTCTTTGTATTCCCATTCCTTCTATTTATTTATTCACCTCTTTCTTTCTTTCTTTCTTTCTTTCTTTCTTTCTTTTTCTTTCTTTCTTTCGTTTGTTCCTTATTTATTTATTTGCATTCTCACTTTCTCTATTCCTTTCTTTCTTTTGTTTGTTCCTTGTTTGCTTCCTTGATTGATCAGTCTTACTTTTCTTTCTTAAATTCTTTCTGTCATTTTTCTTTCTTTCTTTCTTTCTTTCTTTCTTTCTTGTTCGTTATTTCCTTCTTTGGATTGCCATTCATACTATTCATTTATTTATTTATTCACTTCTTTCTTTCTTTCTTATTTATTTATTTATTTGCATTTTCACACTATTTCTTTCTTTCTTTTGTTTGTTCCTTGTTTGCTCGTTTGATTGATCAGCCTTTCTTTTCTTTCGTTCCTTCTTTCTGTCATTTTTCTTTTTTTTTAACTTTTCGTTTGTTCCTTTCTTTGTTTTTTCTTTTCATTGTTCTTATTTCCTTCTTTGGATTGCCAATCCATTTATTTACCTTCCTTTTTTTTTTCTTTTCTTTTTTTTTTATTTTCTTATTTCTTTTTCTTTTTTGTTTGTTCCTCATCCTCGTTTGATTTCTTTCTTTTCTTTCGTTCCTTCTTTCTGTCATTTTTCTTTTTTCTTTCTTTCTTTCGTTTGTTCCTTATTTGTTTCTTTTCATTCTCACTCACCCTAATCCATTATTACCTACCTTTTTATTTCTTTCTTTTTATTACTTATTTCTTTCTTTGCACTCTCATCCTCACTATTTCTTTCTTTCTTTCTTTCTTTCTTTCTTTCTTCCTTATTTGTTTCTTTTCTTTCTTTCCATTTCTTTCTTTTTCTTTCTTTTTTATTACTTTTTCTTTCTTTTTGCTCTCATCCTCACTATTTCCCTTTTTTGTGTTTTTCCTTTCTTTTTTTTTCTTCCTTGTCATCGCTGTCTTGTCATGTCGTTCTTTCGTCTTTCTTATTTTCTCTTTATCACATTTCCCTCACCATTATTGTCTTTTATCCTATTCGATTTTCCATCATAGATCACAGAAAGATTTCAATAAAAGGACAAAGACTTTCCATAAAAAAATTAACAACAACAACTACAACAACAACAGCATAAAAATCACCTGAAAACACACAATGATTCAAAAAGCGGACCACAAAGATGAAAAAGAGAAATTAAAGAAAAAAATGTTAGTTACATGCAGACTATGAAGTGTCGAAAAAACATCGAGAACATAAAAAAATGAAACTTTCTTGAGGATGAATAATTAACCATGACAGACGAACCAAAAGCCAAGTGAACGAGGTCTTACGGCCGTATCACGTTGAAACCCAGCTTCCAGTACGAACACAGAATTTAAGCAACGTCGACCCTGCTCAATAAGTAGATGACTGTTTTTGAATACCAGGTGCTGCGACGACAGCGTGACGTAATGGATAATGCTTCATAACTGTTAATCGGAGAGCCGAGTTCAAATTTCGGTAGGGTTTGTTATATTCACTTACGCGCAAATACCTGTCTGAAAGGCCGTCCTGCGTAAGACGATAAACTACATCCGCGACCTGGGTAAGACGATAAATTACATCCAACAGCAAGGCCTCCGGTCAGGATGTTTTGGGGAGCGTGGAACCACTTTTTAATTGCTGGCGTTCCCAGGTCCACCCTGACTCGGATTAGGTTCCTATCCATGGGCAAATACTTGACACTCCCCCGAACTGGAGTCAAAAAACTATAAAGTGTAAAAATAGGTTTTAATACTAGCAATACATTTTTGTAAAAAAATATTACCAGTAATACATTTTTGAAAAAAAAAATATTACCAGCAATAGATTTGGGGAAAAATATATTAGCAGCAATACGTTTTTGAAAAAAAATTATTACCAGCAATAAAAATCTTGTTAGCATTAAATAACCTATTGAGGTTGATAAAAAAACAAAACAAACCAAATCAATATCTACTGAGATAGATAAAAAATAGATAGATAGAAAGAAAGAAAAAGAAAGAAAAAAATTATCAGCAATAAAAATCTTGTCGGCATTAAATAACCTATTGAGGTTGATATACCGTAAAACAAAACAAACCAAATCAATATCTACTGAGATAGATAGATAAATAGATAGATAGAAAGAAAGAAAAAAAGAAAGAAAAAATATTATCAGCAATAAAAATCTTGTCGGCATTAAATAACCTATTGAGGTTAATATGCCGTAAAACAAACCAAACCAATATTTACTGAGATAGATAGATAGATAGATAGATAGATAGATAGATAGATAGATAGAAAGAAAAAAAATATTACCAGCATTCAAAATCTTGTCGACATTAAATTACCCATTGAGGCTGATATGCCGTAAAACAAACCAAACCAAACTAATTTATACTGAGATAGTGTTATAGTGGAACACACCTATTCTATAGTTAATAGACTCTCCCACCTATAATAAGTAGGAGTAGTAAGAGTAACGAGGGAGTCGCTCAGTGAGTCCGTCAGTCAGTCAGTCTATGTCGGACGACAGTTAGTCGAATACTAAAGTATCAGCGACCACAACTAGATTACTCTGCGTTATACCTATTATATCAAGTTCCTAACGTTTTGTATGTCGGACCTATTTTAGGACCGATTTAGTACAAATACAAGCCTCCACTGTGAAATGACTCCACAATAGATAGATAGATAGACAGATAGATATAAACTGCGATAGATAGATAGATAGATAGATAGATAGATAGATAGATAGAAAATATTACCAGCAAGCAAAATTTTGTCGGCATTAAATAACCTATTGAGGTTGATATACCGTAAAACAAACCAAACCAAACACCCTGAAAGGTACGAATCTACCTAATCTCTCCTCATCTATGGGTTGCTTAATTATTAGAACTTGTTTCATTAAACCCTTATTATCTCCAATAAAAAGATCTTACAAGGTAAAATAATTTCTGGTTTTAAATAATCTGCAAAGTGTTGATAAACCGTAAAAACGAATCAATAAATAAATCAAATTGACGATAAAATGTAAAATATCATTTTAGACTATCTCTTGTTTACAAAACAATAAAGAAAGCACTGCTCATTGAAGAACACTTAACGCAAAAACAAATCAGAAGTGACAGTTTCAAGTGACAGAAACCTTTTCATAAAAACGGTACTGATATACATAAAAAACGACGATGGCGAATACATTCATAATAATGACTATATTTACATCTCGACATATAATTATTAGAAAATAAAATATGTTAAAACTTGAATGAGGAATTTACTCTATCACCTGTAGTAATTGTAAAAAAGCAGGCGCGAAAGCAGGATTCATTTATTATACAGTTTAGAGAGAACAAGAGCCAGTTCAGGAGCACACTTCTTAATGATTATTACGGGTATACCATCGGGTCCACATGCTTTGTTGGGATCTATGTTAGAGATGATAGCAGAAACCGTGGAAGGTGTTATATGCATATCACTTAACAGAAATTCAGTTCTAAGTGGGAAGTTAGGTATACTCCACATGACTCAAGGGTAGAGTTTGGCGAGAATTTAGGGGCAAAACACTCAGCTTTATCAGCAGATTACAGTCGAAATGTTAGACATAGGTCCAGTTTACACTTGATTCAAAATGGCAGATAGCTGTTCGCTTTGCACTAGAGTAAAAACAAATAGTTGGTCTCAGTCTGATTTAATCGACCGAAAATAAGGTAGACATTTTAGATCGAGTTTATAACCCCATCTGAAAGTAACTACCTGTAATGTGACCTATTTTCATTAGGGGATCTCTTCCTCTTTAAGTCAACAGGTCAATGTATTCTGATGCAGTGAACTCTTAAATAAAGACGTATCAAGTCAACAAACAGTTTTCTTTGTTCTCTTATTTTTTTGAAATTTAATACTTATAAATTCTTCCAACTTCCAAAAGCCTAAAATGTACAGACATTTAACAGCGCCTTATTTTCTTCTACTGTAAAACAGCTGGAATAACGAAGGCAGTCAAAACAGCCATGTTTGGAAAAGCGTGTTTATTGGTGACTGTTCCGTTCCTTTTATGACATTTTGATTTCTTTCTTTCTTTTCTGGAATATTAAAAGACTGATATAAGTCAATGATTTTTATTTCTTTTTCTTTTTTTATCTAATTTTCTTGTTCGTCTGCCCCACCCACTTTTTATTTCTCTCTTTATTTTTTTCTTTCATTTATTGTCTGTTTCTTTCTTTCTTTCTTTCTTTCTTTCTTTCTTTCTTACTTTCTTGCCATTTATCTTTCTTTTTCTGGAATATTAAAAGAATGATATCAGTCAATGATTTTTTTTATTTCCTTTTCTATCTAACTTTCTTGTTCGTCTGCCCCACCCACTTTTTATTTCTCTCTTTATTCTTTTCTTTCATTTATTGTCTCTTTCTTTCTTTCTTTCTTTCTTTCTTTCTTTCTTTCTTTCTTTCTTGCCATTTATCTTTCTTTTTCTGGAATATTAAAAGATTGATATCAGTCAATGATTTTTTTAATTTCTTTTTCTATCTAACTTTCTTGCTCGTCTGCCCCCCTTTTTTATTTCTCTCTTTATTCTTTTCTTTCATTTATTGTCTCTTTCTTTCTTTCTTTCTTTCTTGTCATTTATCTTTCTTTTTCTGGAATATTAAAAGATTGATATCAGTCAATGATTTTTTTTTTCTTTTTTCTATCTTTTCTATCTAACTTTTTTGTTTCTCTCTTTTCCCCCCTTTTTGTTTCTCTTTGTTTTATTTTCTTTTCTTTAAAAAGATTGATACCATTTTTTTTTCTTTTCTATTTTCTTTTCTTTCTTTTATTTCTTTCTTTTCTTTCATTTATTGTCTTGTCATTTATTTCTTTCTTTCTTTCTTGTCATTTATCTTTCTTTTTCTGGAATATTAAAAGATTGATATACAGTCAATGATTTTTATTTCTTTTTCTACCTGTCTTTTTCGTCTGCTCCTTTTTTTCTTTCTCTTTTTAATTTTTCTTTCATATATTCCTTCATTCTTTCTTTCTTGCTATTTATCTTTCTTTCTTTCTTTTTCTGGAATATTAAAAGACTGATATTATTTCATAATTTTTATTTTTATTTCTTTTTCTATCTACCTTTCTTGTTCGTCGGCTCCCTTTTTTCTTTCTTTATTTTGCTCCGCCCTGGATATGGCGATAAACTACAACCACGTCCTGGGTAAAACAATAAACTATGTCCGACAGCAAGGCCTCTCATCAGGAGGTTTCGAGGAGCGTAGAACCACCTCTTAATTGCTGGTATTCCCAGGCTCACCCTGATAGGCTGTTAGGGTCCCAGCTATGGAGAAATAGTTAAGCCCTAAACTGGGGTCAAAACACTATGAAAGTGTAAAAATAGGTTTTAATACCAGAAATACTTTGTAAAAAAAAATTATTACCTGCAATAAATTTAAAAAATTTAAAAATAATATTTAAAAATAATATTTTAAAAAATATTTCCAGCTATACATTTTTGTAAACCAAATATTACTATCGAAGTAAAATTATTACCAGAAATAGATTTTTGAAGGAAAAAAAATATTACCAGAAATGTATTTTTTGAAGGAAGGAATATTACCAGAAATAGATTTCTAGAAAAGAATATTACCAACAGTGAAAATTTTGTCGGCATTAAATGACCCATTGAGGATGATATGCCGTAAAACAAACCAAACCAAACTTTATTTTTCTTTTCATTTATTCCTTCTTGTGGTTTATCTTTCATTTTTTTCTGGAATAGTAAAAGACAGATATTATTCAATGACTTTTCTTCTTTTTTCTCTCTACCTTTCTTATTTGCCTGCTGTCTTCGTTTCTTTCTTTTTTCTATCTTTCTTTCTTTCATTCTTGCCATATAGAATTCTTTATTTCTTTCTCAGAAATATGGAAAAAATGTAACTGTCAATGGATTTTTCTTTTTCTATCTATCTATCTATCTATCTATCTATCTATCTATCTATCTATCTATCGTCGTCTGTTAAAATCTATCTATCTATCTATCTATCTATCTATCTATCTATCTATCTATCTATCTATCTATCCTCGTCTGTTAAAATATATCTATCTATTTATTTATTTATTTATTTATTTATCCATCTATGTAGTTTTCTTGCTGTTTTTTTTTTCTTTCTTTCTGTGATTATAAGATTGAGAGATAGATATCTGCTAATGTTCTTTCTTTTTCTTTCCTTCTTCCTTCCTCGCATTCTTTCTTTCTTTCTTTCTTTCTTTCTTTCTTTCTATGCCCATAAGATTGAGAAATTGATGTTTTCCAGTGTTCTTTCTTTCTTTCGTTCATTCTTTTTTTTCAATGCTTACAAGATTGAGAGATAGATACCTACCAGTGTCCAGTGTTCTTTCTTTCTTTCTTTCTTTCTTTCTTTCTTTGCTCATAAGTTTGAGAAATTGATGTTTGCCGGTTTCCCTTCTTTCTTTCGTTGTTCCTTTCTTTTTTTTCGTTCTTTCCTTATATCTTTTTTCTTTCTTTCGATGCTCATACGATTGAGAGAGAGAAAGATGTCTACCAGTGTTCTTTCTTTCTGTTCCTCTACACAAAAGCGCCGTTTGTGTCTGTCATTCTCACCTTGGCTCCCTCAAATGTCTAAAACGCTACTCACCTAGTCACACCAAGACAACGCAATTGCCAACCACTTTGATGTAAGAGTGATTGAAAAAGAACAGAATTCGCTTTTGCAGTTTTATGTCTTCTTAAGTTCCGGACACTTTGATCAATGAAGTATTTAGCCTAGAATACCTAAAACAAAATAAATTGAAAAAAGAAATAGGCTAAGACAACTTTTCTTCATTTGCGTTAAATAAATCCATGTTAATTATCAATAAGGATCACACAGGCAATCACAAACACATATGTATGTATATATAAGTAGACACTGAGGTAGAGGGAGTGGCGATAGTCTGTTTCATTGTTGAACGCAATCTTTAGGCCATGTGTTTTGTGCGTTGACTCGACTATGTATATCTATAGCATATATACATAGTCGAGTCAACAAACAAAACACATGGCCTGAAGATTACGTTCACGCATGAAACAGATTGTTGCCGCCCAGTGTTGACTCCAGTATCTACTTTTATATTTACGTACACTCCGTCCCAGAAATTGAGCAATTTTCCTCATAAATATAGCATAGCTTAAAACTTATATATATATATATATATATATATATATATATATATATATATATATATATATATATATATATATGCAGAAACAATATGTAAGAAAATCTGAATGGCCCTTTCACTACAGAATTAATAATTATCGTAATCGAATTAAGACGACTCCCCATGAAAAATTATTACCTGTAGAACAACATTTCCGTCTGGAAAAGCACGATTTCAAAACCCCTGCCAAATTCACTATAATTGAGAGAATAGAAAAGTTCAGAGCAGATAACATTAGAAATATTTTAGACTCCCATGAAAATAAGTGGATACAACGTCTAAAAACACAATATCCATCCGGGCTAAACCATAAATTTAACAATATAGATAGTACTAATATATAACTCAATAAATCAAAACCTACCCACATTTCTCACCCACACAAGACAGACATGCTTACGGAGGCGTTGAGGCCTCACACTTATATACACATCCACACGAATATACACACTTAAACACATCATACTCACTCACTCCCTAATGAGCCAAATGATAACACACACCCTACAGCAATACACACACACTTACACATATCATACTCACTCACCCCTAAGAACCAAATGACACACACAAACACTTAACAGAGACACATACCCTC